CGCTGCCAATCTGGCTCGGGGCTGGGTGTGCTAGTCTAGCGCGCTCCCGCGGAAGGGGAATCAAGCCTTGCCTGTTGCGGCCTTGGCTACGTGGAGCCACCATTTTATTGAATCGCTTCGCTCATTCCGCCAGCCCACATTGCCTCGCCGCTGTCGTTTGTCGGGGTGTTGTTGTCAATACGTTGCGGTTGGGCGGCTGCCATGTTTCGGAGGCGCAGGGTAGCGGGTCAGAGGCCTCACGGATGTTGGTTGGGCGCTCGTGGTTGGCATCTCAGGCGCCTTTGGGAGGCAGTCTCGAAGCCTCTTGGGGGACGTGTGGAGGCCTCTTGGGGCCTCTTGGGGGCTTCTTGGGGCTTCTTGGGGTGCATCTTGGGGGCCCCTTGGGGCCTCTTGGGAGCCTCTTGGAGGCCTCCTTGAAGCCTCTTGGGGCTGAAGGCTGGACTTTTCGGTTCCTGGCCCCCTCCTTGGGCCCCTCTTGGGGCCGTTTTGGAGCTTTCTTGGGCCGTTTTGGGCGCCTCTTGGGCTGTCTTGGGGCCATATTGGGCAGTCTTGGGGCCCTCTTGGAGGCTTAGTGGGCAGTCTTGGGGCGGTCTTGGAAGCCTCTTGGGCTGTCTCGGAGCGCCGGCCGAAAAGGCGAGAACGCTAAAAACCGTCAGAAACTGAAGGAAAATCATTGATTTCTGCCTCTATGGGCCCTCTTGGGAGGTCTCTTGGAGGCCTCTTGGGGCGTCTTGAAGGCGCTTTGGGCTGTCTGGAGGCAATATTTGGCGTCTTGGATCGCTCTTGGACCGTCTCGGACCATGTTGAGCTCTCTTGGAGGCCACTTGAAGCGCTCCTGGAGCGCTCTTGGGGGCCTGCTGGGACTTGTCCCGGACCTGCCCGGGACCTGCCCAGGACTTGCCCGGGATCTCGCCAGGACTTTGCCGGGGCTTGCGGGGGTACTCTTCGTCCAGGGACCGCCAGGGGCGGCCCTGCGCGCGCAGACCAGAAATATGGTTAACCAGTTGCCGAAGAGCACGCCCCTGGTCCGCTGGGCCGGCGAACTTTCAAATGGAGGTCAGCATCACTGAGCACCCAGGGATTCCACAGGATGCAATCATCTCCGTGCGGTTCGGCACGACTAGGACTGGGGGGAGCTAACTACCCACCTACATTGATCTTGGCAATGCCAAGACCCGAGTGGGTGCACAGCTTGCGTGCGCCTACAGGAGGCAGGCAACGATGCAGGTCGCCATGGCGCATCCCCTCACGTTCCCGACGCCGTTGGACGCGTGCTGCGAACCGTTGAAGATCGACGTGCTGCAGCAGCTGAGCTCGAAGCGCCTCGTGATCCAGTCCGACCAGGCGAATTACAGGTCAGGAGTGGAAAGATACACAGACACAACCAATCGTCGATTCCCAGGAAATATGGGAAAATATGGGAAGTGGGGGGGAAGACGAAAACCCCACAAACATTGGAAAAGATTGTGTGTCCCTGTGCCCCTTCAAAAGGATCGGGCTGGACGGGCAAGGCATGGCCGTGGGCCTCAGCGTGCGGAGCGTCAGGGGCGGGGAGGGCAAGCAGCAGGCCAGGGCCGCCAGGCCGGACGCCGCCGCGCTGCTCAAGCAGGACACCGCCAACTCCGCCCGCGAGTACCTGGAGTCCCACGGGCTGCTCAGATACGTGCAGGCCCTCTTGCACGCCGTGATCCAGGTCAGGCCGTCCTTTTCCTCCTCCTCATCATCATCTTCTTCCTCCTCCTCCTCCTCCTCCTCCTACCCCCTCTTCCTCCTCCTCTTGGAGGTCGCAGGTCAACCGCCCTCGTTGCTCGCCTCGGACTGGGTATGGAACCCGAACAGAAGCTTGAGTATCCACGTGCACGTCTGCATCAGGTTAATGTCTTGGCATCTTACACACACATATATATATATATACATATATATATACATCCATATATATATGATATATATGATATGATATATATATATATATATATATATAATATATATATATATATATATATATATCCCTGGGGGCGAGGCCGGGGGCCTCAGGACAGGTGCCTCCACCCCCCACGGGGGGACGGGGGCTCATTTTCCCTGTGTTTTTTACAGGGTTTCCGCGTCCTGGGCCTGGGAGGCCGCCGCCTCCAACCCCTCATGGGAGGACGGGCCGGCCAGGGAGGTCCAAAATAGTCCAGGAGGGCATCCAGAGGCTCCCAAGACGGCCCAAGCGGGCCCCGAGTCGCCGAAAGACCGCTCCAGGACGCCCAAGATAGGCTCAAGACGGCCCGAGAGGCTCCCCAAGGCACTCCACGACGCTTCAAGACGCCTCTCCAAAGCGCTTCACGAGGCCGAAATCGTTTATTTTACGAAGGTTTGGGATACATTTTGCTTTTCCCGCCTTCTCAGCTTTCCGACGCTCCACGACGGCTCAAAGGCCCCCCGCGGACGCCCCAAGAGAGCCCAAGAGGCTCCCAGAGGGGCTCAAGACGGCTCTGGGGGCGAGGCCGGGGGCCCCAGGACAGGTGCCCCCACCCCCCATGGCGGGACGGGGGCTCATTTTCCATGTTTTTTTACAGGGTTTCCGCGTCCTGGGCCTGGGAGGCCGCCGCCTCCAACCCCCCATGGGAGGACGGGCCGGCCGGGGAGGTCCAAAATAGTCCAGGAGGGCATCCAGAGGCTCCCAAGACGGCCCAAGCGGGCCCCGAGTCGCCGAAAGACCGCTCCAGGACGCCCAAGATAGGCCCAAGACGGCCCGAGATGCCCCCCAAGGCACTCCACGACGCTTCAAGACGCCTCTCCAGAGCGCTTCCAGAGGCCGAAATCGTCAATTTTACGAAAGATTTCGAACGATTTTGGCCTTCCAGCCTTGTCGGCTGTCCGACGTTCCAAGACGGCTCAATAGGCCCCCGGGAGCGCCCCAAGACGGCCCAAGAGGGCCCCAGAGTCGCCCAAGACAGCCCAACAGAGCCCCAAGACGGCCCCAAGACGCGCCTAAGACGGGGACCACGACTCCAAGATTCGACCCTCCGGCTTGAAGAGTGCCCCAGGAGGCCCCCAAGAAGCACCCAGGAGGCCCAAATGAGGCCTAAAGAGGCCACAAAACAGCCCCGAGGAGGCCCCACAACGGTCCCAAAACAGCTACCGAGAAACTGCGAAACTGCCTTCACGACGTCTCCGACAGGCCAACCACGAGATCCAAACCAACACCCATGAGGCCTCTGACCCACCACCCAGGGCACGGTGGCGGGAGCAGTGACAGCACTTGTGCACAGCATGTTCCGGCGGGAGCCTTCCGGAACACGCTGCAGGAGGAGGAGGAAGATCAGGAGGAGAGAGAGCTGGAGTGGGAGGAGGAGGAGGAGGGGGACGAGGAGGAGGAAGAGGTCTCCAAGACAGCTCGAAGATAGCCGAAGAGGCTTACACGAGGGCCCTGGGCGGCCCACGAGGGCCCCAAGGCGGTGCCCGAGGCGCCCGAGAGGGCCCCAAGACGGCCCCAAGAGAGCCCCAAGAAGGGAAACACGAATCGAGAATCCGAGCTTTCTACCCCGAGAGGTTCTCGGGAAGACCCAAGATGCCCCCAGGCCCCTGAGAAGCTCCCAAGAGGGCCGACGAGGTTCCAAGAGATCTCCCAAGGTGGCCCCAAGAGGCAGAACTCATTGTTTTACGATTGGGCTTTGACGGGTTCTACGTTGTTTTCTGCCTTTGGCATCCCGATGTCCAACACCGCCCAAGAGGCTTCCAATACCCCTCCCATATTGCGGAAGAGGCCTCCAAGAGGGCCCCAAGACGGTCCGCGAGGGCCCCAAGACGGTGCTTGAGGCGCCCAAGACGGCCCCAGAGGGCCCCAAGAGCCCCAAGAGAGGCCCAAGAAGGGGAGCGCGACCCAACAGCAGAGCGGTCCCCCCACAAGGCCCACAGGAGGCCGCAAGAGGCCCCCAAGTGGTCCGACGAGGACCCCAAAAGCTTCCCGAGGGCCTCAAAGGCCCGTATAGGAGACGTCCAAGAGGCTTTAAAATAGCCCACGAGTGCCCTCGATGCGTCAAAACTGCTTCCAGGACGCCCCCGGGAGGCTCCCGGATTGCCTCAGTCTGGCAGCAGGTGGCCTCAAGTCGGGCCTCCACGCAGCCAAGACGGCCAATGACGGCTTCAAATTGCAGAACCCATGCCCCCAAGGGGCCCTCAGACGCCCCCCCAAGAAGCACCCAAGAGGTGTTTCCAACAGCCAGTTGACGAAGCATGCGGAACACCCCAGAAGCTCCTCAGATGCCGTCGCGCGCCTGTGCTTGATAGCGTTGTCCAAGATCGTCCAGCGCCCCCCGGCCTGGGCTAGAACCATGCAGGCCCAGCAGGCTCCAAGAGGCCCAGGAGGGCGCCAAGAGGGCCCCAAGATGTCCAAGATAAGCCCAAGACGGCCACAGAGGCCCCCAAGACGCTCCAAGAGGCCTCCAAGAGGCCCCCCCAGAGGGCCCCAAGAGGCCAAAATCGTTAATTTTACTAAGGTTTTGGACACATTTTGCCTTTCCCGCCTTTTCAGCTGACCGACGCTCCACGACGGCTCAAAGGCCCCCCGCGGACGCCCCAAGACGGCCCAAGAGGCTTCCAAGAGGCCCTCAAGACTGCTCTGGAGGGCCCCAAGGCGGCCCAAGAGGCGCCCAAGACGGGCGAAGAGAGGCCCAAGACGGCCCCCAGAGGGCCCCAAGAGGGGAACCGCGAACCGGAAATTCGAGCCTCCCGCCCCCACCGGGCCCCGGGAGGCCCCAAAGGGGCCCCAAGAGGCCCCAGGAGACCCCCAAGAGGCACCCAGGAGGCCCAAACGAGGCTTCAAGAGGCTCCCAAACAGCCCCCACGAGTTCCCCCTTGCGGGCCTCTCCGGCCCCTCCCGGGGACCATCTTGGGCCACCTTCTCCTCGGGGTTCATAGCCCCGAGCTGGCGAGAATGCGAGAACCGTTTAAAGACAAATCAGATATGGTTTTGTCACTTGAGGCTGTGGGACTAATTCTCCTCGTTCGCCCAGTCTTCCTCCTCACTCCATGGAAGAACAAGGACTCTCCTTGCGCTGGCTGGGGTCTTCCCGTTCAGGCAGGGCTGGCGTTCCTCTTCCTCCTCCTCCTCCTCCTCCTCCTCCTCCTCCTCCTCCTCCTCCGATCCTTTCTCACCAGAGCCGTATGCTGCAACACTGTCGACACGATTTGAGTCATCAGAATAATCAGGGCGCGGTTGTTGTAGTCCGCGTATTGATGTAGTTGGTGAAGCTCTCGTTGAGCATGCAATGAGCCCGGCCAGGACGCCGAAGCAAGGACCGCCTTGGGCACAGGAGCGGCTCTGGCTCGTCGTGCTGCTGCCTAGCTCCAGGCCGGGGGACCTTTGTGGCCAAGACCCTCGCCGTGGCCGGAAGAGCCCCGCCGTTCTTTCGACAGCGGTCTTTCTGGCAGCACGCTCCCGTGTGGGGCGAGCTCGCGTTCACAATCGGGGAAGTCCGCGCTAGAAACTAAGCGCGCGCGAAGCGCGCGTGGTTCTAGTATATATATATATATACATATATATATATACATATATATATATATATATATCAGATCAAGGCAGAGTATGATGCATCAGGAAACGTTCCCACCACTCGCCCATTTCAGTGTACAATCTTGGCAGCAGCTGAGGCCGCCATCGGCTGCTGATCGCGCTGCCGCGCCGTAGGCCTGAACTCATTTGGTACGGTTGCTCCTCCCCCTCCTCCTCCTACTCCTCCTCCTCCTCATCCTCCTCCTCTCGAAGAAAAGAAACTGCGCATGAGCATACATTCCCAGAGGTCCGCGCAGATTTCTTGGATCGGTAAGAACCCCGACCCCGTCAGCACGCCGCAAGCGCTAAGGAAGGGCTCCGGAACAGCCGCGCTGGCTTGCAGGCCCCGCAGGTTGCCTCTGCAGCGGAATCGAACCTCCCTAGTGACCAATACGACGAGAAATTCTGCCGACTGCCACGAGAAACACCCACGGCGCTATCCACGCAGCCGCGCGCATGAGTAATAGGGGGGCCGGCGGCAGAGGGCGAAGCTTTTATGTGTATGTGTATGTATGTATGTATGTATGTGTGTGTATATATATATATATATATATATATATATATATATATCGATTCGTTTTCCAAACAGCTTTGCACGCCCCACTCGCAGGCCGCCTGCAGATGTGAACGGTCCGTTCCATCGCCGTCCTTGCTCAAGTTTTTCGGGCGGCAGCGCCAACCCAGCTTGTATGGGAGTCCTTGGGCTCCTGAGCAGAGCAGCGCGTGGCGCCATCGCCGTGCTCGATTCGGTTGGGCCAGGGCTGGGATCGCTGGCCGAGGAGGCCTCCGACTGCGCGCTGGCTGTGGGCTCATTCGGGAGCATCCGATCGCTGGCCGTCCTCTGTCTCATTGCAGGTTTCATCGCTGGCGTGAGCTTGACCCTGTGCTGCTGCCTCGGTGGACATGTCCTATCTACGACCTGGGCGTCGCGTTCGCCTCTTGTGGGAGGTGGGCGGTATTTGGCAGGATCGGATCTTGTTGTGCGAGTGCCAGAGCTCGGAGTGCGAAGCAGAGCTGGAGGTGACGCCGAGTCCGATGGAGATCGCTGGACACCGCGTGGTACGCCCTCACTCCAGACCTGGGCGTGCACCCACACATCCTGTCGGAGGGCCACCTCTCAGGCTTCGTGGCTCTGAAAGATGACGGGTCGCCGATGACAGAGACGGCTTTTGGGCGCCGGTGGGGGGCAGCGAGTGCGGCATACGGCGCCGAGTGGGAGCCGACCGCGCTCGAGGTGTGCGAAGCCCTGGAGGCGGTGAGGCCAGGTTGCTTGTCCCTCCAGGACGGCGAGAAGCCCTCCAGGCGCATCACGGGGAAGGCCTCGTGGAGGTCGACTCCAGCAGCAGCAGCAGCGGCAACTAGCCCGGCGGAGGAGCTCTATCCAGGCATGCTGGTAGGGTCAGGTCCACTTGCCCGCCAACGACGGGCTGAGCTGGTACGTGCTGGCAGGGGAGAACCCGACGGAGCTTAGGCAGGCGGTGCGCCACCACGACTTCGACGGATACCTGGTTGCGGGGAAGGTTGGCATCGCCACGCGGGGCGCCGACACCATGCTGGTGAAGGCCGTGGACCCCTCGTCGCCTGGCCCGGAGCTGGAGACCGACGCGCGGGTGCTGGACATCAAGACCAGGCCCGACGGCAGTCGGCATCGTCACTTCACCGAGGCCGCCCGCCTGGTGTCGACCACGGAGTGGGCTGAGTGGCCCATCATGGGCCCGAGGACGGCTGCCTGGCGCCTGGAGTTTCTAGCTCGCCAGGACCAGCATCCTCGGGCCCGAAACGCGAAGTGGGTCCACGAGTGCAGGCTGGGGGCCACGGATGAGGGCGTCGGAGACCACGACCTCGCCATGCGCATGGCGGAGCTTGGCCTCAACTTCGATCAGCTGAACCTGGGTGAGCTCGCCTCCTTCGAGCTCTTGATGCGGAAGGCCCAGATGGCTGAATGGCGGCATCGTGATCGCCTTGCGGCCGTCCAGGGTGACGACCTGATGGAGGAGAGCTACCTCTACCTTGGCACGGGTGAGACCCGTGGGCTGGTGATGGTCGCGCCGGCGCTGGTCGACCACATCAGCTCGGAGATGCATCGCGAGGCTCAGATCCTCAAGGAACGTCGCAAGGCGAAGGAGGAGAGGATGCTCTCACGAGGCGGCGGCAGCGGTGCAGCTGGGTCCAAGGCGGAGCTCCAGAAGAAGATCTAGCAGCAGGCCGCCGAGCTCAGGAAGATTCAGGAGAAGGGCACGGGGAAGGACCAGGCGGCCGGCCGCGGGGCCGGCCGGGGCCAATGACGCGGCCACCTGGGATCGCGCCCCGCGAGCTGCTGCCACTTAGCGGCTTCGCGGCGGCGCGAACTGACGGCGGCCCCGCTGGGCTGTCGAGGTCGGCGCGCTCACGAGTACGCCGCCGCGCGCGCGTGACGAACTGGGTCGCCGACGCGGCCGAGAGCCTGAATGCCTTGCGTGGTCATGGCGGCGCCCGAGAACATTTTTCAGTTTCAGCTGGGCAGCAACGCAGCCTGGAATTCATGCAGTCCATCATCGAGCAGGCGGGCCCACCTCCCTGCTCACCCGCGGCAGCCCACCAGGAGCTGTGCGGCCACCAGCCGGGCTACGTGACCGAGCCCGAGCAACCAGCCCAGCACCAGAGGGAGATCCTCTCCCTGCCGGGGCTGGGCGCGCGCTGTGATCCCAGCGACGTCCTGCGCGGCCTCGACCACGATCAGTGGGCACATTGGGAGAGACATTTGTTGCGCCGAACGCCTGCACCTGACAATGAGATCAGGCTTCACAATGATCGCAATATCATGGCGGATAGGCGGCGCTGTGCGCAGTTCATCCTGGACCTGTACACCTCCGGCCTCGTCAGAGTCGGGGCCAAGCGCAGTGCCACGGTGGGCGTGTTTTGTGCGTGGAAGAGCGGGCGAGAACGGCTTCGGCTCATCTTCGACACGCGACGAGTCAACGCACGGTTTCATGACCCTGATCACTCTCAGTTACCCAGTGCCGCCGCGTGGGCGGCGCTACGTACTAATCCTTCTTCTTCTTCTTCTTTGAGTATGGCTCAGGCCGACGTGGGCAACGACTTCTACAGGGTGAAGTTGCCCGACAAGATGGACGAGCATTTTTCGTTGCCGAGCGTGCACGTGAGTTCGCTCCGACAGCTCGCCGAGGCGGCTGGGGTGGATATCGACCTGCCCGACGCTCGTTTCGGTTCGCCTCTCTTGCAAGCGTTGCCAATGGGGTGGTCGTGGAGCCTTTACTTTTGCCAGAGGCTGCTGGAGACCACCGTGCTGAGGTCGGGGATCGACACTGGGCCGCTCATCATGGACCGCCACGCTCCCCTGCAGGTCCGCACCTCTTCGACCCAGCCTGGCGGGCACGTCGACAACGTATGCATCGTCGGCGGCGACGGCGACCGCTGCGTGGCCGACTGCACCGAGTTTGTCAGCGAGCTGGAGCGGGTCGGCCTGAAGTAAGGGCGTCATGGGGCCTGAGGATCTGCAGACCTTCACTGGCATCACCTTCGAGAGGCGCAGCGGGCGCGTGGGCATCAGCCCGGGTCGGATGTGGAAGATCCGACTTGCTCTGCAGTTCGTGGCGGACCGCCGCTCTGCCCCGGGGGGCGAGATCTTTAGCTTGCTTGGGCACTTCACTTGGGCCGCTCTCTTGAGGCGGCCACTTTTGAGCATATTTCAACAGGCCTACGTCTTCGCCCGTGTCGCTGGACACCGCCGCCTGCGGCTGTGGAGCCGCGTGGAGCTCGAGCTGCGGCAGGCGGCGGCCTTGCTGGTCCTCGCTTTCTCCGACTCCAAGAGGCCCAACAGCACCTTCGTCTACGCCTCGGAAGCCTCCAGGGGCCAGTCTGGCTCAGGAGGCGGCTACGGCGTGGCGGGGCAGACCTGGGCCGATGAGCTCGCGGTGCGCACCGCCTCGTCAGCTGAGGCCTGGCGATGCCCCGTGCTGGACGCCATCGGGGCCCGCGAGTGCGCGCTTGGCTTTGACCCGGTCGAGGGCGCCAAGGTCGGCCGCCGCCAGGCCCGCGCTGGCTCCACCAGCTTCGAGGGGGTCGCGAGGTCCTCGATCGGTGACTTCAACGACTGGGGCGTCCCCTTCCACGGCGAGTTTCAGCGCGACGAGGACATCGCCGTCCTTGAGGGGCAAGCGGCTGCGATGGCCGCGCGGCACGCAGTGCGAGGGCGCTGCGGGCATAGTCATCGGCACCTCATCTTGGTCGACAACCTCGGGCTCGCACTCGCGGTTGGAAAAGGCGCTCCCCGTCCATCACTTTCAATCACGTCCTGCAGCAGCTGCGCGCCATATCCATTGTCACCGACACCACCTTCATCCTCAGATGGATTCCGTCAGAGTGGAACCCCGCCGACAAGCCCTCTAGGCTCAGGCTTCATCATACGTTGGGCGCTCGTGCTGACACCCGAAATGCTGCGTATCTCGGAGGCCCGTCAGCCAGCTCCAGCGGGCTCCAGGCCCTCGGCCGGGATGTTGACGCGCTCGTTCGGAGGCGCAACCGCCGCGGTACCACGGCTTCGGGTGCGGAGCCCGACGGCCCCAGCGGGCACGGCGCGGCCGGGCTCGGGGACGCGCTGCACGACGACCCCTACCCGCTCGGTGGCCTCGCGGGGCTCCTCGGCGGGCCGGGCGGTGGCGGTGCGGTCGCCGACGACTCCTCATCTTCGAGCTCGGACAGTGGCATCGACCAGCAGTGCGAGACCACCCCCAGCGAGGGCCGAGGCTCTCCGCCTAGCCAGGGCGAAGGCTCGCCGCTCAGCCCACCGCGGCGCAGACGAGCGAGCCCAGGCCGAGGGGCTCACGGCGTTGCAGAGCCTGAATGAAGGTCGGCAACGCGTCCTGCGTGTGCTTCGAGAAGGAGTACCTGGACTTCCTGACTTGAGCCCGCTCGAGGGGCCTGTCGATCCTCGGGCTGCCATCCATTGACTCGACCTTCTCCCAGTACCTCGATTTCCTGTTTTGGGAGGGCCACAATCACCACAAGGGGGACAAGGCCTTCGCGGCGCTGAAGCACTTCAACCTGGGCCTGGGCTTGACTGCGGCGGCTGCGCTGGAGAGGGCCGCCGCCGGGCTGCGGGGCTTCCGCAAGCTGGCGCGGGGATCGACGCGGGCCCCCATGGCGAGGGAGCTGCTGTTCGCGGCCGTGGGCGTCGCTCTGCGCCGAGGCTGGCGGAACTTCGCCATCACCCTAGCGCTCAGCTGGGACACGATGGTTCGGCTTCCCAGCGAGATCGTGCAGATGACGCCCGCGACGCTGGTGGCGCCCGCGCCACGCTCTGGCCGAGCCGTGTGGAGCCTGCTTCTCTTCCCAGAGGAGTTCAACCAGGTCAGCAAGACCTTGGGCTGCGACGAGGGCGTCGCGCTGTCAGACTCGATGTCCGTGGCCCTCGGCGCGGACCTGGCCAGGCTGAAGCGAGGCCGCTCGGACGGCCAGCCGCTCTGGGACTTCGACGCGAGGGTCTTCAACGCCAGGTTCAGGAAGGTTTTCGACCAGCTGGGCCACCAGGACTGCCACCCGTACCAGGTGCGCCACGGCGGAGCCTCGTATCGAGCCGCAGTCCTGGGCGAGAAGCTCGCGGACATCCAGGCCATGCTGAGGCATCAGTCGGAAAACTCGACGAAGCGGTACGCCAGGCACGCCAGGTACTTCGCGGAGGTCGGGAAGCTCAGTCCCGAGGTGGCGCAGCTCGGGCGGGACATCGACGCCCGCCTGGGCGACCTGCTGCGGGGCCGGGCGCCGCTGCCGCCGCTGCCGCGGGCTCGCGCGCCGCGCTCCGCGCAGGGCGCAGCTGGCGCGGCGGCGACACAGGCGGTGCGGCCGAGGTCCTGACGGACGCGGCGGTGCGCCGCCACTGGCGGGCGGCCCTCTCGGGCTCCCGTAGGCACCAGGTGTACCTGGACCTGTTCAGCGGCACTGGCAAGGTTGCGAGTTGGCTCGAACGGAAGTCCGACTACGCTGTCCTGCGGATCGACGTGGCGGCCCACCCCGCGTTCGACTTGTCACTGCGCGTGTGCGGGGCCATCGTGATCGGCTGGCTGAGATCCCGCGTGGTGCGAGGAGTGATGTGCGCTCCTCCGTTCTCGACTTGGTCTCAGGCCTCTCGCCATTTCTATCGCTCACCTGGTGCTCTGAACGGCCACCCTGGCCTGCAGGGCGACGCCGCCGCCAGGCTCCGCGTGGGCAACGTCACATTCCATTTCGCCATGCGAGTCGGCTTCGAATGCGAGCACCTCGCCGCCCCGTTCGTTTTAGAAAATCCCCGCTCGTCAATGATGTGGTCTCATCCTCGCATGCTGCTGCTCTCCCGTTCCTCTTGTAAAGACGCCAATGTAGATTTCTGTCAACACGGTACCAGATGGAGGAAGGCCGCTCGATTCCGCGGCTGGTGCACCTGCCCCCCCCCCAGCCTCTGCTGTACAAATGCCGCGGCTGGGGTGGGCTGTGCAGTAAGTCTGGCCTGCAGCACATCACACTTGAGGGCGGCGGACCTGGGGGTAAGCGGTGGACAGCCATCGCGGAACCCTATCCCGCTCCCATTGCTGCTGCTGGTCTCTGGCTCCACCGCTCCGCCGAACGCCGCCTGTCAGTTCTTTTGTCCAGCCTCGTCTCTCGCTAATGTTCTACTAAGCTGGGATGACGGCTGCCAGGCATTCAGTACGGTCTATGGCCTCTTGTTCTGTTGAATGCTCGGCGCCGGGCCTCGACGCTGCCCGTCGCCACCAGGCAATTGCCCTCGCTCTCACCAGACCCCCGCTCTGGCAGAAAAAGGTGATCTAGGCTGTGCATCGATTGTTTTCCAAACAGCTTTGCATTCCCCACTCGCAAGCCGCCTGCAGATGTGAACGGTCCGTTGCATCGCCGTCTTTGCTCAAGTCCTCCTCCTCCTCCTCCTCCTCCTCCTCCTCCTCCTCCTGTTCTTCCAATGCCCGTTGCGTCCAAAGTGTTGGCCTCTTGTTCTGTTGAATGCTCGGTGCCCGGCCTCGACGCTGCCCGTCGCCACCAGGCAATTGCCCTCGCTCTCACCAGACCCCCGCCCAGGCAGAAAAAGGTGATCAGGGTTGTGCATGTATGTATGTATGCATGCATGCATGCGTGCATGTATGTATATATGTTTGTATGGTTATGAGTGTATATGTGTATGTATGTATGTATGTATGCACTGATGCATGTATGTATGTATGGCTGTATGTATGTGTGTATGTATGTATGTATGCATGCATGTATGTATGTGTGCATGCATGGGTGTAGATGTGCATGTATGTATGTATGTATGTGAATGTATATGTGTATGTATGTATGTATGTCTGTATGTATGTTTGTATGTGTGTATGTATGTATGCATGCATGTATGTATGTATGCATATATGAATGTATGTATGTATGTATGTATGTATGTGAGTGTAGATATGTTTGTATGTATGTGAATGTCTATATGTATGTATGTCTGTATGTATGCATTCGTGCATGTATGCATGTATGTATGTATGTGTTTGTACGTATGTATGTATGTATGCTTGTATGTATGTATGTATATATGTATGTATGTATGAATGTATGTATGTACGTACGTATGCATGCATGCATGCATGTATGTATGTATGTGAGTGTATATGTGTATGTATGTATGTTTGTGAGTGCATATATATGTATGTATGGATGCATGTATGTATGCATGCATGTATGTATGGATGTATATGAGTGTATATATGTATGTATGCATGCATGCATGCATGCATGTATGTATGTATGTATGTGTGTCTGTGTGTATGCATGTAGGTATGTATGCATGCATGTATGTATGTATGCATGCATGCATGTACCAATGTATGTATGTATGTGTGTATGTATGTATGTTTGTATGCATGTATGTATGTATGTGTGTATGTGTGTATGTATGTGAGTGTAGATATGCATGCATGTATGTATGCATGCATGCATGCATGTATGTATGTATGCGAGTGTATACATGTATGTATGTATGCATGCATGCATGCATGTATGTATATATGTGTGTATGTATGTCTGTAGGTAGGTATGTATGCATGAATGTATGTATGTGTGTGTATGTATGTATGTGAGTGTATGTATGTATGTATGTGTGTGAGTGTATGTATGTATGTATGTATGTATGCATGCATGCATGCATGCATGTATGTATGTGAGTGTATATATGTATGGATGTATGTCTGCATGCATGCATGTGTGTATGTATGTATGTGAGTGCACATATGTATGTATGCATGCATGCATGCATGTATGTATGTGTGTGTATGTATGTATGTATGTATGTATGCATGTATGTGTGTACGTATGTATGTATGCATGTATGTATGTATGTATGCATGTGTGTATGTATGTATGTGAGTGTATATATGTATGTATGTATGTATGTATGTATGTATGTATGTATGGATGTATGTGAGTGTATAAATGTATGCATGTATGTATGTGTGTATGTATGTTTGTATGCATGCATGTATGTGAGTGGTATGTATGTATGCATGCATGTAAAGCTGTATGTGATTGTATATGTATGTCTGTATGTATGTATGTATGCATGTGTGTATGTATGTATGTATGTATGGATGTATGTATGTATGTATGTATGTATGTATGTATGTTTGTGTGATTGTATGTATGTATGCATGTATGCATGTACGCATGTATGCATGTATGTATGTATGTTGTATGTATGTGTATGTATGTATGTATGTATGTATGTATGTATGTATGTATGTATGTGTGTGTATGTATGTATGTATGTATGTATGTATGTATGTATGTACATCTATGTGTGTATGCGTGTATGCAGTCTGACCTAGGCCAGAAAAACATCCGTCGAGAACACGAAACCCTCCACCGGCCAAAACGCACAGAGCACTCGAGGGTGCCCTTCCCCAGGATACACAAGAACATCCAACATATACAAAGAACATTAGGGCACCCTTCCCGAACCGACCTCGATCTTGTACCTCGATCCGCCGGCCCCCTTGTGGGGCCACCAGGCTGTAGGCTCCGCCAAATTTCAGAAATGTGGCAAAGCCCATCGGTTTTTCGACCCTGACCCCGCCGATCTGTGTGAGGGGTGACGCCGAATTCCAGAAATGTTTTAAATCCAATGAGTTTGTGGACCCTGACCCCGCCGATCTGCGTGAGGAGTGCAGCCGAATTCAAGAAATTTGGCACATCTCATTAGTTTTTCGACCCTGACCCCGCCGATCTGCGTGAGGGGTGCCGTTTAATTTCAGAAATGTGGCAAATCCCATAGGTTTTTCGACTCTGACACCGCCGATCTGCGTGAGGAGTGCAGCCGAATTTCTGAAATGTGGCAAATCCCATTGGTTTGTCCACCCTGACCCCGCCGATCTGCGTGAGTGGTGCCACGGAATTTCAGAAATGTTGCAAATCCAATAACTTATTCTACCCTGACTCCGCCGATCTGCTTGAGGGGCCCAACCGAATTTCAAAACATGATCGACCCACGAACCCGGAAAGGAATATGGAAATGTCACGCATGGCAGCGTTTTCAAAGACACCTGATTGGGTGACGGGCAAATGCAATGCTGAGTGTATCGATCTTGATGTACCGTGCCGAAATCTGTGCTGTGCTGCGCCGTGCTGAATTGCGCTGTGCCATGCCGCGATTGTGCTCTATAGCGTCGTGGATCGAGTCCTCCTTTGCATCCGAGTCCTGACCGAACTGATCTGGATCTTAAGCTCGAGCTGCCTGAACACATAGTAGCTGCCCCAGAGCGAATTGCCAGGAGGACATGCCAGGAGGACGCGCCGCGGAACGTCCCAAGGGACGCGCCAGGCGACGTGCCAGGGGACGTGCCATGGGGTCGCACCGCGGGACGTGCCAAGGGGACGCGCTACGGAACGTGCCAATGGATGTGCCACGGGATGTGCCAGGGGACGCGCCACGCGACGTGCCAGCGGGACTCGCCAAGGGACGCCCCACGGAACTTGCCAAGGAACGTGCCAAGTTGCAATGCTGAATGGATGGATCTTGATGTACCGTGCCGAAGTCTGTGCTGTGCTGCGTCGTGCTGAATTGCGATGTACCATGCCGCGATTGTGCTCTATAGCGTTGTGGATCGAGTCCTCCTTTGCATCCGAGTCCTGACCGAACTGATCTGGATCTTAAGCTCGAGCTGCCTGAACACATAGTAGCTGCCCCAGAGCGAATTGCCAGTGGGACATGCCAAGAGGACGCGCCGCGGAACGTCTCAAGGGACGCGCCAAGCGACGTGCCAGGGGACGTGCCATGGGGACGCACCGCGGGACGTGCCAAGGGGACGCGCTACGGAACGTGCTGGGGAAAAGCGTTTCGCTCGAGACATCCTGTCAAAATCCTCATGTTAGACATCCGCCTGAGCGACCTGGACACGTGAAAACAAGCGTTTCGCTCAACACATCCTCAACACATTCTCATGCTAGACATCCGCCTGGGCGAACTGGACACGTGAAAACAAGTGGTTCGCTCGAGACATCCTCAACACATCTTCATGTGAGACGTCCGCCTGGGTGACCTGGGCACGTGAGAACAAGCGCTTCGCTTGAGACGTTTTCAACACCTCGTCATTCTAGACATCCGCCTGGGCGACCTGTACACGTGAAAGCAAACGTCTCGCTCGAGACATCCTCAACACATCTTCATGTTAGACATCCGCCTGGGCGACCTGGACACGTGAAAACAAGCGGATCTCTCGAGACATTCTCAACGCATCCTCATGCTAGGCATCCGCCTGGGCAACCTGGACACGTGCAAACAAGCATCTCGATCGAGACTTCCTCAACACATCCTCATGCTAGACATCCGCCTGGGCGACGAGGACGCGTGAGACCAAGCGTCTCGCTCAAGACATCCTCAACAACTCCTGGCTCTAGACCTCTGCCTGGGCAACCTGGAGGCGTGAAACCAAGCGTCTCGCTCGAGACATCCTCAAAACATGGGGACGTGAAAACAAGCATTTCACTTGAGAGATCCTATGAATTCTGGTCCCCAGGAGAGGACAATCTATAACACAAAACAAGCGTTTCGATCGAGACATCCTCAACAAATTCTGAAAAACAAGCGTTTCGCTAGGGACATCCTGAAATTTTAATTCGCCGGCCCTCTTCCCATTCGTCATTTATCGCAAAAGAAATCCGCTGTCCCTCTTCCCATCAAAACCGGGGGGGAAACCTCTAAAAGAGAACCCTGGGCTTGAAGCCCTTTCCGGGAAATGTGGCA